TTCAGGCTGGCAAAGCTGAAATTAATCATACGCCATGTTGGCACGCGCAAAATTCTACCAACAATTACTCACGTTTATTCAACTAGCCGTGAGTCAGCCACGCCCCAGGTGAACATTCGGCCCGACTATTTGCCAATCGATTGATTGATTGATTGATGGAGAACTTGCAGCCCCCCCGCCCGGATATAGTCCGTAAATGATACCGTCTTTAAATTTGCCACAATAGAAGTTCTTGAACAAGAAGCACTCGATTGTTGTTGCGGCTTATCGGTTGCCCCCATTTGCATATGGTTCAAGTTCTTAGCTCGACATTAAAACTCACTTCTGATATCTACCGGTTGCAGTTCATGGCGAGATCAAGTTTTTAAAAGCAAGGGTATCTTAACTATGTCACACGGTTTGCCAGCCTTGATAAACGATTTCAAAAATTAACCTAATGTAGTTCTGCTTATGAATGAAATTTAATAATAATTAATTAAATATTTCTCAAAAACAATTGAAAAAAATGCAGTCAAAATCAACTGCAAACAAATATTGGAAAATTACTTCTATACATATAATAAAATTGCAGAAAGCGCATTCATTATTCGGCTCGTAATTGTTTATTCGTTTATTTCAAGGGTAGCTCGTATCAAAAAATTGTTTAACGACTTTTATGTTTTGCTTTTGGCTTTGGCTTTTGTTTAGCTGTGTTGTTTTCTGGTTTTGTGCTGTTTGTCACCTCACCTTGTTGACTGTGCGACCGGTGACGATGACGGCATTGAATTACTGAATTACTTGACAGCTGGAGTCTTTTATCAGCTTGTCTCTTAGCTCCCCTCCACTTCATCCACTCGCTCGCCAACTCTCTCCATTTATGTGAAGCGCTCGTTCTTTCTATTTGTGTCTGTGGCAAGTGGCAAACGACTTTCAGTTGTCGCCGACCTTCGCCCCCGCAGCGACCTTTGGCGTCCGCAATTTCACTTTGTGTGCGCGTCTCATATTGTCAAATAATTTACATCCATATAAATGATCACACATATCATATCCAAGTATTCCAGTCTTCCATCTTCGCTCGCAGCTAATGAGATTTCTCACCCTCTCTCTGTCTCTTTGCCCAGATTATTCTCTGGCATGGCTTTCGCCTCTGTCTTTTGGCTGTCATCAGAGATTTGGCCCGCCAACTGGGTATTGTACTTACTTCTACTCGACTGCGACTTTGTCTGTGGCTCATTTTAATTTTGATGTCAACTTAATAGAATGTGTTTTGCTTCGACTTTATGCATAAAGTACTTTTTCCAGCAAAAGTAATGCATAGCTGATCAACCAGCTGCGGGTCAGGAGATGATGAGGCTACTTAAAGCCGCATTTGTGCATCATTTACAATAATCGCCCCGCTGACATTGTGGCTCTGCCCCATTTGCCCATAACACTGTGCTGCTGGCATCATTAAAAGCACATTCAGCCGGCGCTGACTTTGTGGCACTTAACGTGGAGCAGAGGCGGCCACAGTGAGGATTGGCACGTAATATACCCAATGGACATATTGTTATATGCTTACAAATCGGAAAAGTATGCCAATGAGTAAAGTTGAAAGTTCTGCAAACTTGGTTTTCAACTAGTTATATATATGAATTATATTATATATATATCATATGTTATATCCGGAATTGCCAAAATATAACGCTAAGTTTTCAATTTTCACGGCAAAAAGTGCCGATGCTTAAAATAATTGCCCTGGTTTCTCAATGTGCAAGCGAAATATATGCATATATCAAAAAAATATAATATGTTATATATAAAATATAAAAAATATAAATCCAATAGATATTGATAAACATATATCTATCTTCAAAGCTCAAACGGAACATTATATTATGTATTTATTATTCATGCCAATTTTTAGCCTTCTATCCAAATTGACTTGCCTTAAAAGAACCCAAAACTTTTTTCGAGTTATTATTCAAATATTTTATTAAAATTTGCTTTTGGAGCATAAACTTTATGATTGTATTTCAATTAACATTGAATTTTGAGAACTTTCTCGTCTCGAGTTTGGCAGTTATACACAGTTTTCACTGTACACCAGAGCATAAACCTAGTTGTATCTGTGTGTCTGTGTGTGTGTGTGTCTGTGTGTGGGATGTTTTTATGATGGCATATCCTTTTGTTGTGGTTGTTTTTGCTGTCGGATAAACGCATTAAGATTTGCAGCATCTGCCGCCGGCGATGACAGCGCTAAATCCAATTAATTATGCAACGAAATGGGAGTCGTATAATTCGTTGTTTATTTTGTTTGTTGTTAAGCGAAATTTAATAAAATTAAAGTGCATACAAATTGCCAGCATACGCCTCAGTTGCGCTCTAATCTAATTTGCATTTGCGACAAGTCCGCACGTCAATCTTCATCAGGATTATTATCATGATCATGCTCATGCTTATCATTGCCGAGCTTCTCTTTGAGCTTGACCGCCGTTTTGTGGCGATTTGTTTTAATTTGTAGGCGCAAAGCAAACTGAAAAGCGAAGCTAATATGAAAAACACGGCGTGCAGCTGCGCTCAAGGTAACCTTTAACATGCCAAAGGGGCTAATCTGAGTGCTGGACCGCAGCCATTTTCTTATCAGCGTTTGTTTTTCTTTGCTTTGCCTGGGTTTTCCTTTGGGCTCGCGTACGTGGCGTTTGTAATTTGCTTTTTGGCCATTTGTCGTGCTCGTCCTGGCCATGTATTTGGCCTGCTGCTGACAACGCCACTTTCTGTATTGCGGCCATAAAATCGTTGTTATTTTCTTTTTGCTTTCCTTCTTTTTTTTTCTTGTGCCCCAAAGCATTTTATGTTATGGCAAGCACACGCAACACTCGTATTAACCACAGCACTAAAGCCCAGCTCCATTATCGGGCTGGTTTTGTCCGTATATAAAATAAATATATATATGCCTTGTATCTGGCTGTGCATGACAAATTTCTAAAATTTAACATCGAATTTACGACAGACAATCTATTCATAAAAAACTTACTGCTACGCTTACGATTATTAAAGTAATACGCATTCGTTATATAAAGCAGCCCTTTTTATAAGTCTTAGTCAAAACTTTGATTTAGCATCTAGATTAGTGTCTTAATGCTCTTAGCTTATTGTCTTAATCGCGAGTTTTATATGCTTTGCGTACTCGCAAATAATTGCTCTGCAGGGGTATGTTTATGGGGGGGAGGATTGGTGAAAGATTCTTAAGCTTAAACTCTTTGCTGTTTTATGTTTTTGACGTGTGCGTGTCATAAAACCTGTCGCCCCATAGACGACAAACACGACCTTGCCGCGAATTGCCACATCTTTGCCCAGTCGAAAGACTTTTCGACTTTCTGGTTACTCTTTATGGAGATTGTATTGGCCTTCGAGGCGAAACGCAATTTGCATTACATTTGCTACGCGCTCGCATAATATGTTATGTAAACAAATAGATATTACATATATGATGAAGGGAAGCAGTGAGCTTGTGAGTGAGGTTTGATGGCAAATGTATGTGTATGGACAGAAATTTCATATATATTCTGAAGAAGGACAAATTATATACAATGAGTACATAAATTTAAGTAATACAAAAGAATATATTGCTTAAATGTAATTTGAATCAAAAAATGAAACCCTTTTTGTATATCACAAATAAAAGTACTCGACTTGGGCTTGCTTGTGTAATCAGCGCTAGAAAGGGAAAGAAATAATAGCAGTCTTAAAAAACCTAATTTATAAATTTAAATTGAGGTTTTGTGGCATTAATAATAGCATCTAAAAGTCATGCATATTTCATAATGTGATTAAGAGAACGAAAAACAAAATAGGAAATAAAAATAAAACATATTCCATTAATCACATGACTTTCTTAAGGCAACACACAAAATTTCTAGGTACTTGAGATAATGAGAATCGCATAGAGAGGCAATTTTGAGGTTTTTTTGTTTTTCAGAACTTTCCTACTTTATGCAATTTGACATATCAACACTTGTCTCTCAGGCAATTTTATTGCCAAATCGCGTCCAGCTATTTAGGTCTTGTTCGATATGAATTCTTGATTTTCTGCTGTCATTTGTCATATGCACGCCTGTCTCGCTCGCTCGCTTGCCCTTTTTTGTAACTCGGCTTTTTATTGAGGCAAAGAAAAAAAGTATAAATAAAGACAGCAAATAAAACAATAACACGAAATGCTCTTGCTTCATGCCTGATTGACCCTTCGTAAATCGCACAGCGGGTTTCACGCAGCGTATATATATATATATTTTTTTCCCCCTCCCAGTTTCCCGATTACGCTTCGATGCACAGTCGCAGAAAAGGGCAGAAAAGTGTAGCATGCTTTTTGGGGCGCAGGCGTAAGGGGGGGATAAAAAGGACGCCTATTAAAAACGGCTGCCTGACCTTTAACTTGGCTATTTTCGTGTAAACATACACACATCTTTATGCACACACACACACACACACACACACACACATACACAGGTTTGTGTGTTGTATGTAAAGCAGCTCGTTACGGCTGCTGCCTTGTAGGCCTCGCGGCACTTGTAACTTTGCACATAAATTAACTGTCAAAAGGGCAGCCTCTCTTCCCCTTCTCCTTCCTCATCCTCATCCTCTTCCTGGCTGCCAGGAATTTCTCGCTTGTAAATTTATCTTGTAATTACATAGCACACCGTTGTTCTCAGAGTTGTTGTTGTTGTTGCTGTACCTCCTGCTTCAACTACAACAAACGTAATTAATCAGCAAATTTTGTGAGACGCGTGCAAATAAATATATTTTGGGTGACAATTTTTTTCTTAATTTAATCCCTGAAAACTGAGGGACGCACAAATCTGACATACTTATCTTTTGTAAGCATTGAAATGCTTCATTTAGTAGATGATAATATTTTTTTGTAAAATAAAAAAGATATAAATATATATAATAATAAATATAAATATAAAAAAATGTCAACGAAAATATTTATAATCAATAATTATTTATTTACTTATATAAAAATATAATAATTATATAAATAAATAAATGTCTTTCGACAACTTTTTGCTGTTTCATGACTATAAATTAAATGTGATAAGTGTCCTCTTGAGACGCCTGCAGAATCAAATACAGAATACGTTGACAACAAAATGTTTTATTAACCTTTTTCCTGTATCGTACTATCTTGCCCTTAGGCCAGATTTATCGTCTCTCTCTCTCTTGCAGACATGCAAAAACAATTACAAAAGCCACGCATAAATTTATAAAATGCCAAAGGAAAGCCGACAGGCGCAAAAATAATGATATCATAAAAATACGAAAATGTATATATACAAATATACATATATATGTAAATACATATGTATGTATGCAAATGATGCGCCAGATAGTTGAGGGCGACTCCTTGCAGACGAGAAGGAGCCTTCAGTGGCCCCCTTGACCCACATACACATGTCGCAGCGGACATGCGTGTACTTGTGCGCGCCATACATAGCCTATATGCGACATTAGTGTCGCCATTTTGCGTAAATAAAATAAATAATTATATATACACGCACTCGAATTAATCATGTCAGATTCGATAGATGCCGCACATATATCTGATAATAAATAGCTGGAATATCTGCGCTTATGTAATGCATATGATAAATATAATAAATGCGTAACCGGATGCCCAAAGGACATGTGATTGATATTGTAATATGTGTATCATTTAAATTTTGTTTAGTTTTATAACTTGATTTCAAATTGAAATGGGCAAAAGGGTTATTATATCTTTGTGCAGGCAGAAGAAGTCGTGCTCGACCCCATGAGGTATAGATATTCTTGATTAGGTCAATTAGTTGAGGCAGTCGAATGCCTCATCCTTTCGGAATCCATCTCAATTAGGTCAAGAGCCATATATTTATATGTGCTCGTATATCCACACAGAACGAGTTTATTTTTATGTTCTACTTCCGATAAATATCGATTTTGGACAAAAAGTTCTTAGACATCAAATATGGTATGCTGCTTCTTTCAGATTAAGTTAGTGAATGAACATGGAAAAAATCTTTATTCAAAGGTAGAGCCGAGCCGAGTGTGGTGTGCCATATTTTGGCCCTGGTCATTTTTTAAGGATCGAACTCTAAGAATCGATGTCTTAGATGCTTGGCTGTGTTCAGGGCATCTGCAAGTTGGCCTTTCTCGACTTGTGTAATTCCTGCTAGTTTTTAGTAACGAAAATTTGTTTGTTATAAATTATGGGCTAAATATTTTACTACTTTGTAGACATCTCAATTGTTTGCTCTCTTTGTTTGAACTACCATAACGACAATATTTGATAAACTAGTCTACTCATTGAATCCTTTATTGAGCAACTGCAGCTTAAGACAATCAACAATGCAATTCCACCCAAGGCTAAAAAGGGAATTATGGAAAAAGGCTAGCCGTCTTCTGCCTTGTTCTTTGCGCTCTCTATCCTTAAACGTTTTTGCTCCTCGCACACTTTCGCATATTGCGAGCTAATGAGTACTCATAAATTGTGAGATATTTTCTTGTTTTGCGGTTTTCTCAGTCGTCTCGCTTAATGCGAGCCCAATTTATTGGCAATTTCTCGGCGTTATATGAAATATATTTGTTGTATTCTTATGTTTTGTTGTTGTGCTGGGGTAAAACAGGCTGCCACGCCCTTACTCCGGCATATAAGACCGCCCGCATTTCCCACAATGAGCTCGCCGAAAACTTTGCGTATTTCTTATGGCTCCGTTTTTTTTGGGTTTTCTTCTTCTTTTTTTTAACACTTTGTTTTGCCAATTTCGAATTTGTCATATCAACCACTTGCCGCTGTCTTTGGCCAGAATTTGATTTATGTCGCGTGCGCGTTTTTTTGTTTTTACTATATAAATCACACACTCATTCAGATATCGAGTACTTGTGCAGAGTTTTGTTTGCGACTAAATGAAAACTTCATGCAAGTTGTGTATTGTTTTGTGCTTATCTTTCGGATTGTTTGCTGCTGTTACCTGTCAAATTGATAAGAACCTAACAGCTAAATGCCATCTAGGCAATGTGCCTAACTGTGAGTCATACAGAATAAATTGCTTTGATTTGTCAGACATTTAAACAAACGAAATTCCCATATTTTAACATATAAGTAGAAGTTTATAAGAGTAAAAAAAAAAAACAAATCTAGCAAAAACCTTTTTGCAGATGATTCATAAAAAATCAATAAGGGAAAAAGCAGCTTAAAAATGCATAAACTTTTGCAATTTGCATATAAAATATGCATGATTGTCATGGAATCCGCAATTTATATAGTATATATCCGTTTTATAAATATATAAAATACCTGAGATACAATTCCGTTTCAATCATAAAACAGCTACAATAATGTTTAAACCATTTGCGTGATTGAATAATCTTCAATAGTTAAAAGAAACTTTCTTCAAAGTACTTATTTCAAGAATTCTCATACTTAAAATAAGCCTAAAACGTTATCAATAAAGATAAATAACATTTCTCAGCTAAGTAGACTTTTAACTCAGACTCAGACATTTCTTAATTATCTTCAAGTTGTGCAATTTAGACCACATACTTTCATTTATTATAGAATATTGGCTTTATTTTCTCTAGCCAAATCCTGCAACTGTAATTGTAAAAGTCATGTGCTTTGTCGATTTGCCTACGCTTTGGACATTCCGAGTGCTCATCCAACTGCCCGCAGACCATTTGCCAGTGCGCCTCCACTTCCACTTACTTCCATATCGATTTGCATAGTCGTCCTTTGTGGCCACGGGCAGAGTTCTGGTTATCAATGTTTCAGCCATGCTCACACAAAAATAAATGATACAGCGGCTGGCAATGGCAATGGCAAGAAATACACAGCACAAAACCAAAACTGTGCTGCTTATGGCCCTAAACGAGAAATGTCATTTTCATCTGGAAAAAATTAATACGAGCTAAACTAGGAGTTAACCTAAGGAAGTGCTTCTTCGCTTGGTTAATTGTCAATCAATAACTTCCGCATTTATTCTCCGATCTTATCAAATTGTGTGTAAATGGCAAAGCCAAAGTCTGTGTTGTATCGCTTTCATAGAAATGGATCAGCTAGCCAAAAGTTGAAGAAACCTTTAATATGCGATTGTATTGATATGCGCTTAATAACGGAATATACTTAGTATATGTATTAGTTATAGTTTTTGCTTTTGAAGTGTAAAAAACAAACAATTTTATTCGGAGAGTACTCCAAGCTCTGTTCACTCCTTGACCTTTGGGTGGAGAGGCGAGAAGAGGTGCTGCCTTGGCCAAGAGAAACTTTTTTGCATTACGCATTTTCAATGCGCTTGATTGAAAGTGCAAAATTCTCTGGTTCTTTATTTATTGATAAAATGCACTTTAAATTTGTCAAACAGTTTATAAAGACAAATGCTGATTGGAAATAGATGCAAAACCTTTTGAGATATTTCGATAATTTTGCAGGCAAATGGCAAAACACGTTCACTACCGAAAAGTGCGAATAGAATTTGCGACAATCAAAAGCACAATTCATGTGCGAGAAACTAAAATTCATCCAGAATATAATAGTAATTCTTTGTTTTATCTGTAAGAATATTTCCTTTGTATTCCACACTCGGCATATTCACAAATATATCTTTATCGAGGACATTTAACCCACGGGCCATGTCTGTTATGTCGTATGTGTTTTTGGCTCAGCACAGTTTTTTATTGCTTGCGCTTCACAACTGTTTTGCACGTTGACAGCAGCTTGAGGAAATATTTGGTTGTCATTCATTTAACTTGACAATGCCTGCAGAAATTTGTTCTACGAGGTCAACTTGCTCGGCTGTTCATTAATTTTTGGCCAGCTGTGCGAGCTCTCTGGCAGAAAGTCGGTCGAGGCAGCGTTCAAAATCAATTAATAATCGCCATGTTTTCCAGACATGTGTACATGCAACATGTGACAAAATGGCGCGTGCTGCCTGCCACACACAGAGCATAAGAAGAGGCTGGGAGGGGGATTAGATGGGAATACGACTTCCGGCGCCTAGAGTCGTTTCCTATTCCGCACGCTTCGAGTATTTATGTGCTTTTGCGAATTTCATCCGAAAAATGGCCTAGTTTCATTCAGCTAGCACAAAAACAAACAATATGTGTGTTCATTGGCGACTGTTGCGCATGCTGAATTTTTAAACAGCAGCCGCAGCAGCACAGGTAGAAAGGTAAATGCTGTCAGGACAGACATGCATGCCTGCAGCTATCATTGCAGTACAGGCATTTACTGGAATTTCAGTGAGAGAGTGAGTTCAGTGATTGCCAGTTGTGGTCCGCTTGTGTATTTGTAATTATAAATTCATATCAGCATTTTTTGGATAACCAACGCCAAGCCAGCTCCAGCACACACATACGTCACGTCTAATGACAGTTGCGTGTCCAGAGAAATTACAGAGTATGCGGTCATTCAACTTTGTGGCTTGACGGAGGGGCCAAAATTTGGGTAGTTCAACTAAAGCCAGGATTTTAAGTAAACTTTTCACATATTTGCTTAGCTTTGATTAAAGCTTTCCTTCTTGAGAAATTATTGATACAAAATTTCCCATCACATTATACATTAGGCGCGTATTATCATATTAAACATAAAGAGTTTTTGCTTTTACTTAAGAACTTTTAATTACTTTTATTAATAATTAGGAAGAAACTTGTTTTTGTCGAACATACAAAACTAAATAAAATGCGGAAGCGAACAAAGTAATCAAGCTCCTTGCACTGGCATCGAAATATATTGTGCCTGCCTTTAATTTCGGTATCAGATATTTATTTAATATTTCCTGTTACTCAAATTGGCCTTTGCTATGAGCACGTTATTGATATTTCTTTGGATTTATAATTGCAATTTGCAGCTATTGTCCGGTTTATCAGTGTCCTGTTCATGCGGCTTCGCACATGCTGACATTCGAGCTGTTGTCCTTCGTTGCGGACCCTTGTCCGCAGTAACCATAAAAGCAAATGCAGCTGCCAAAATGTGTAATGCAAGCTTAATAAATTTAACAATGTTAACGCACAACGGAGCGTATAAACAGACAGAGAGCGCGAATCAGCGATAGAGGGAGATGTGGAGTGAGATATGGATACGCCCACTCAAAATCAATAGCTGCATTTTCTCAGTACTTGGCTGGGCTTAATTTCATTTGCCGCCCATACGCCTTCGTCCTGCACAGCTGGACCGCTCCTGCTTCCTGGCTTCCTGGCTGACGGACAAAACCGCATCGCAACACAATGCGATGCAGTCCGTTGGTCACAATGCAGTTCTTGACCTTGCACTTGTCGCTGCGTCGTAATCATTGTCCTTGCGTCAAGTTGCAATTTCTGCGTGACATTCGCACGGCTCTCATTCAATTTACAGCCCCATTCCCGCATCCCTTGCCAAGGACATCCCTTGAATTATGCTTAATTGAAGGCCATCAAGTGGCTTCATTAGAGAGGCAACAGCCAACAAATTTCCCCGCTCTATTGTGCTCAATATTGCTAACCCCCCCTCATCATTCCCTTCCTTTCCCACCCCGGCCCATCATAAATTTGACACTCAAGACCCCCAAGGCCAAGTCACTTAAATTATATAGAAATTCATTTAAGAAATTGCGACACTAATTTGACTAATCATTTACAAGTATTTATGAGCAGTTGCAAATTTCCGCTAAAAGCGAGCGAAACATGTGCCTGTTACGTGTGTTATACCCTGTCGCCACATTTTAGCGAGCGTATCAGTTTTACTAATTATAAACTTTATAACATGCAAAAGTTTTCATTTGCTCTTCAGTCTTCTTTTAAATGTTGAATATTTTTACAATTAAAAATTGTGAATATTTGGGACGACAAATAACAAATTATATCACAGAGGAATGCCAAAAAAAAAAAAATTAATCGAGTCATGCAGAAAACATTCAAAAATAAGGTTTTATTATAATTTGTGGAAATTTTAAATAGATTATGGTCCGTGTAAGCACTAGCAGTGCAGGGTATCTACAGAACGTGCAGTATTTGAAGGAAATTGGCTTGTTTAAGGCACATTCGGTTGGGTGCAAATTAACCTTAGACATGTGGGCGGCAGCTGGCGCTTATAAGTAGGCAATGACAGCGGCAACACATTATCATTATTAGCAATGACATTATTATCGACATCGTTATTATCATCATCATTGTCATCATCGTCATTGCATTGTGGCCACATTCAATATGTATGGTAAAAGTTTTCAATTTGTATGTCAGATTCTTTTCTTTTTCCATTCCATTCCTTTTGATGCTAGTCTCTGCACATGACTGCCATTTACTTTCCGTTTCCGTTACATTCTGCTCACGACTTTTGTTGCTGATAAGACGCGACCCGCAAATATCAAAAAAGTAGTGGAGCTCCGGCTCCGGATTTGGGTGCGGCTCGGGCTGGGAGTACGCGGGCTCACATGTAATTTGATTTCGTTTCGTGCCTAGCGCAAATATGGGTTAATGCGATTTTATGTCATTTATATATTGTTGATTTTTGCCAGACTGCAAATATGCGTGTGTAAATGTGTGTGTGTGTGTGTGTGTGTGCATATAGGGCTTAAATGCGGCTCACGCAAATGGCAATTTACTGCTTGGAAATTGTCGAATCACATCTTTGGGAAGGGCAGGCCCAACTTCTGCATGTGGCAGGGCCGAGTCTTGTGCACAGAACGAAAGGCTTCAAATATTTCCTAACCGAGCTGCAACGTTTGCCATTAGGTATAAGCCAATGGCTCATTGTCTAAGCAAATGTTTCAATTTCTACGCACAGATGGGCAATTGGTCGTAATTTTCCTGGAACAATATGCATTTGCATTGCTTTGCGATTTGAGCAGCTGCGTCATCATCATCCCCATTCACAAAAACAACAAATGTAGCACATCAAATTGCACATAACTTGTCAATTGTTGTTGGTTTTGTATTTGCCTGATATGCCTGTCAAGGACTCGTGTCTATCTGTGTGAAAAACCCATTGTTGTCAAGGCAACTAGCAAAATGAGCGCAACTTTTAGTCGTGCTTATTTTTTGCATTATTGAAAAGCAAAATAATATCAATTACTGAAAATATTATCTGCAATGTGTTATGCAATTATATAAACAGCAAAGCTTACACAGGTCAACATTTAATATTTTTTTTACCAATTTTTTATCTGGACAATCTCTTTGTGGTTATTTCTCACATTTATAAATTGACTTTGCAGCTGCAAATAAATTCGCGCAGTTCGATTGGAGATTAATGAAATATATAATAAAAATGTAATTAAAAATTGAAGCATTTCCGCTTTGTTATTTCGTTTCCCACTAAAATCAATAGCAGCTATAAAAAGTCTTTAATTAATTAATCAATAGCTGCAGCTGATTTACTTTTGCATGCGACAAGCACGTTCCACATGCAGCCACACACTCATTAAGCACACATGTGCTTTCGCATGCAGCTACACATGCAGTTACAAACATATGTATTCGCATGCAGCCACAGACTCATTATATACACATGTGTATTCACATGCATTTATGTTACACATATGTGTATTCGCATGCAGCCGCACACGCATTTACACACATGTGCAATCGCATGCAGCCACACACGCATTTACACACATGTGCATTCACATGCAGCTACACATGTGCTTTCGCTTGCAGCCACACATGTGTATTCGCATGCAAAACGTGCATGATTCTTACACATACACATGCGCTCGCTGGCGTGGTTCTGTCATCATCTATTAAAGGTTGTGCGATGTCAGGCGTGAATTATTTGAGAATACATATGTATATAACACTACAGATACAGTGGTGGAAAACGGTCCATTAAATAACGCTTAGCCTATTGAAGGCTTAACGCAATTGACACGGGCGGCTAGTGGGCATTATTATTTGATTTCAGAAATGAAATTCGCACCCTAGAAAAATAATGATAAGAATTGAGATTGTATTCCACGTTTGATTTACAGATTTTTGTGGCTGTTTAAACTTCATAATACTTTATACCATATACTAATGTGCTTTTTACTTCCTTTACCAAGGCCAAGAGAAGTTTTGGCAAGCAAAGTCTTAAAAGTTTTCTGGTCTTTAATTTAACAACGCCGGAACCCAACTTTGTTGCACTGTGCTAAAATGTTTATTGATTATTTGCTTGTGCGGATTGTGTTCATGTGTTTGCCTGTTTAATTGTTTGGCCGACAGCCGATTTTAATCAGGGAAAAGCTTGACGTCAAGGATATGCCCGAAGAATATATACGAATATGCTTCTGAATACAAAGTTTTTAAATATAATTATGCTTGCCCAACCCCAAAGCTATAAAGAAATGTGCAGTCTAATAAGTAGCGTCTAATGCAGTCTAATGAGAAAAGCAATGAGCCATGCTCACAATATACCATGAATAATTACCACAAAAGAGTGAATACTCATTGCACGCATTTTCATTTGAATCAAGCGTGTCTCAGTCTTTGGGATTAAGTACGTGTGCACGACGAACATCATGTATTGAGTTTTTATTACTCACGCCTTTGCCATCTAAATTGCCGCCTTCCGGTGAATCAGGCCCGCAATTGATTGCGTCAATTTGTTTTAACTATATGCGGTTTTCGCATTGCTGTGTGCATTAGTTGAATTTTCCCCGGCACATGCAGCGCATGTATATAGTTCCCAGTAATTTAATTAAAACAATTTAGAAATATTAAATTACAACATGCATCAGAAAAGTGCTCTCTTCGCGCATTCTCGATGCTGTAGAGTTTCGCTTGTATTTCGTGCCTCTGACTGACAATACTATGTCGATAATTAATTGAGTGCTTGTTAATATAAAAGCAGAGAGAACGGCACACCGAAGATGATATACTCTTGCCGACATGTGCTCGTAATCGAATTTGGTGAATAATCAACATGAAACATAGAAACATAAACTTTATAATATTGACAAGATTTGGCTTAAAAGTAATCAGAACGAGGAACTTTTTTAACGTTTCATGAAGATAGCTTTAAAGCTGCAAGAAAAATATATATTTTCGACTATACTATATACTATATATATACTTTATGGGATCGGAAATATCTTCTTCTAAGATACTCTATCCAAGAGTATAAACAATTAGAAATTCATAGCTATCTTTCTCTCCCTCTCTCTCTCTCTCTCTCTCTAACCTGCATACGCCCCTATTAGAAACTCTTGTTTCTCATTTATTTTATTCGGAACTTACACAGATTTATAATTACTAAAAATCGATTTCCATGGCTCATTTTTCGAGTGAATCGCGAACGCGTTTCTCTGTGTTCAAAGGTCATTTGAACATTAACTGAAAGCTGTTCAGCTAGGTTATATTTAGTTCGAGGGCTTATGCACTGCTTTTATAGTTCATGAAATGTCACTTATGCCATATTTTTGGGATCTCTTCAAACATTGTCAGTTACGTGACGTGCATGCATGTTTTAATAAGTGCACACATATCTCGCAACAATAATGCTAATGCTAATGAATGCGACCTTGTTATTGCGCCCGAGTTGTATAAGGCCCAATGAGAGAGCTTGACAATTGCTAATAAAGTGCAAACTTAGCTGCACATTTCCCACACGGAAAATGCGAATTGTCATCGTTCGCATTATTGCGACTATTTATGATTGCATTGCTAAGGATTCTAATTACAATTGACCAACGTGTGCTGCATTGCTAACTCTTTCCAACTCTTGTTTCATAACTGGCCATTGTCGAGTCGAAGGACTCGCAGAGGGGGAAATGTCGCCACGTTTTTCTCGTTGCATATCAATTTTTCTACGGCATGAAAATTTGTGTGTCTATTTCGGTCGCTCCTTTTATTTTCGCAGGTTTTTTTTGGGGGGTACTTTCTCCTTTTTTTCCTCTCGCCATGCATCGATTTCTGCGCCCATTTGATTGAATTAGGCCGTGTTAGGAATTGAAAAAAGGTCCATGAAAATATAGATTGATGCAGATACTCGTGCAAATAACTAAATTGATTCTTCAGTCACATCTAACCGCTATAAAATGTGCCTTATAATTGCTGTTTAACAGTCAGGAGAAGGCTTCTGCGACTCGATGAAATAGATATATTGTTGGCCAGCATCAAGGCCCAGTCTAGTTAGCCGTGTTCGTCTGTCTGTATAAGGACTGGAAATCTGGAACATGGTTTGATATTTTGCCCGCACATGAATTCTTTAAGAATAACCAAATTTAACGTGTACCCTCTCGAATAGTTATATACAAATTTCGACGACTTTGGGACCGTGATCCCATCTAGTTTTCTTCCTGTTACCGACTTAGCTCCAATTTATTGATTTTAGATGCTTTATCAACTCGATGAGTCTGCCACAATCACATACATTCATTTGAATTCTACAAATATAATTGCGATAGCTATGATATGAATTATTGCTGCTATTTTCATTCAGTTTTTCCGTAAAAACCAGAATGTTAGTATGACATTAAAGAAAAGAATGCCAAGATCACGTTTGTCGTAAATCTAGAAAACGTTTCTTTGGAAAAAAAGTTAATTATCTAATATGTTAGAGACCTCGTTATTAGTTATAAATATTTAGATACTTTTGTGCACATCAAGAATTGAAAAGTAAAATGTTAAATTATGGGAAAAAAATTAGTTTTGTAGAATATTCTAAGTGCGTATTCAAATGCATGACAGATGATGATGTTGTATAATATATATGGAGAGCTTGTTGCCAAACTCCTGCATCTCAAGGCCCTTTAACTTACATATATATATATATTTAAGAATGTTGCATATACATGCACTAAGTATATATACATTTGCTGTACACGTTAACAATGCGGGACGCCGTTTGCATGCCGAAGCAGCAACAGCTTGGCCAAAAGGCAGCTACACGGCCAACAAAAAAGTTTCAGCCAAATACGTGCAGCGTGCACAGAAGTGTACAGAAACATATATATATAATATATATATATATATATATATGTGTGTGTTATGTATACTAGCCATACATAAGTAGATGTAGCAAGGGATTAAAAACTGGGCCAAAGTTCATTCTGTGCCTAATGAATAAATTTCAGCAGTGGATGTCAGTTTGCGACGTGCTTTCAAATAGATGAAACAAAAACAATTGCACAAAACTTTCAAATAAATATAATCAAAGTTGTTTATTGAAACTGGATAATCAAACTAGCTTCAAGAATTGTTTAAAATTAAGCAGGCTTTCAATGAAAGTAAACAAACTGCAGATATTGCGAATTCAAGTTGCAGGCTTGAGAAATTTGTATTTAAAATATATTTACTAAAGGATTTACGACTGATAACAAACTTGTTTGCAGCAAGTTTAAGATATACATTTATTTACGCTCTACCTTGAGCGTAAGCTCAATCAGAAGTTAGTTTTATTTTGATTTGGAAAGAAAGTTTTCCTCGTTGAAGCACTTGTTCATTCTCTTGTTTAATGCAAGATCCGAAGTAGTTAGCTATGAAACACTTCTCAAATACATTCAAAAAAATAACTTAACAAAATACTTGAGTATTTTCCGACGTGTCTTGAACACATAAAAGTATACACAGCCAAATTTGCAGCTTTCTAGATCTTATCAGGATAATGTCCTGTGACAATGTCCTGACGTCCTGTGGCTAATTGAGTAGCTTCAATTATTGCTGTGTATCTGAACAAATTCTTAATGCTTGGCCACAGCTGCCCCCACCTCTGCTCCTGCTTCTGCTTCTGCTGTTGTATCCTGCACAGAGACTGAGATAAATGATCTAGGACTTTAGGCATTTATTTCTCAAAGGAGCTGTTGACCGACCACAAACGGCTTCATTCAATTTGAAACACATTGCACATTGCTTTGGGAACATGCAATATTTCTTAAATGTACTTACGTATAGGTTTTGTGCCCAACACACATCAATCTGCGGTGCAGGCTTTCAACTTTGGCATTCCGGCAAATTTTGGTATGCAAAATACGACAGATGATTCAATTAAATGATTTAAATGCTCTCACGCTGGATGCGGCTTCAGCCAGCCAGGGTTTCACTTGGATTTGCGTAATTTCTTGCCAACCAGTGCAAAACATGATTAATTAGTGCATATCGATTTTACCACCTGGCATCCCTTGCCCTTATCAAGTGGCTGCTCGCAATCGTGGCGTATACTTAATGTTCCGTACGTATACTTAATGCGTCTCCGGTTTGCTACTCCATTTAAATTTTATGATTAACGATCCTGTACGCCCTAGTCTTGGCTAGATTGCGTCACGTTTCCGTTTCTTTTGTCTATTTGCCTGGCTTCTAAAATCAAATACAAAAACCTGATTATCGGCGGCGAGTAATAAAAGTTGCCAGCTTTCGAACTTGACTTGGCCACAAAAAGAAAATATATACAAAAAACCTGCGTTGCTTGTTTCGATAATATTCGCATTTATACCCTGTAAAAAACGACGGAGTGGAATAAATTAGCATAAAAAGTTTACACACTATATGAAAAGTTAACAAAAACAAAAGCTATTCGGGTTTCTGAGCTGTAATAAACTAGTTTACAGCCAGAATAATAGACAGTTAAAGTTAAATCTGAATATATTTAAAACCCAATGTTACAGAATATAAACAAGTTGGACACTCTTATTTCAAAGATTCACAAAAAGTATTTATTTTGGGAATGATAGATACAAGTTTTGGCTAATATCGATACGAAATTCGATAAATTATCGCGGCGAATTATTCGGGGCGAATGTCAACATTTTTTGCAAATGTGACAAATGTTGTTGTATTTCACATTAGAAAAGAAATGTTACATTCAACAAAAATTATGCTATAACTCTTAAATGATATAAATCGTTGCCATGAAAAATTATATTATTATGTGGTCAAAGATGCTGTCTTTGGTGCGTTACACATTTGATGACTAAACTAAAATACCCTGTACAAGGCGCAAAGAGCCTAAAACTTTTCCCAGTATTAGCTATTAGTTTAGGAATCAATTGCTCAAAATCCTCTTTTTTTTAAGTATTCTTTACACAGAATTTGTATATAATAATATCATAATGCGATTATCAGATGTAATGAAACTTAAGATTAACTTTTTATTTACTTATCTTATCAGATTTCAAAATTATTGAGTTGAATGTAATTTCGTAGCTCGATCTATTGAAATGCTGAGTATCTTATGTTTCAGCTAATCTACGCTGAATTTGAGCTTTTCTTTTGTTGTCCTTAATTTGTGTTTTATAGCCATTAGCTCCAAAGATTGCCTTATCCTGCCGGGTGCTCCTTTTATGAGCTTTTCGTTTGGCTTTATTTTCATCGGAAACTTGCATTCAACACGCACATGACAACAAAATGACGGCCTGTTGTGTGTGTGTGTGGGTGTGTGTGGATAAGCGTATGCAAAGACGTGCTTAATTTGGAAATGAAATTCAAGCAAAATGTAGCACAAAGAAAATGTGAAAACTACGCGGCGACAGAGGCAGCAGGTGACGTCAGCAGCCAATAAATTAGCGAGCTGTTTTTTTTTTTTTGTTATTTATATATTTATTTTCTTTTCTTTATGCTTTTTGTCACCAGCCACACAAACACACACATACACACACCGACACACACGCGCGCACAATTGAGTTTCCAAAAAGTATGCAGCACATTTTTTGTTTGTCACATTGTCATAATTTATGCAACATTTTTGCATAAACATCGCCTGCCACGCCCCAACGTAGTATCGCCCCCCGTTTGGGCGGCAAACAAGGCTTGAAAAGCAATTTAAAAGCCCGTAGACAAAATTGATTTAATACAGAAGCCGGCCAAAGCAAGACCGGGCCGGGCGGCTTAAAGCAAATCGCATAAGTTGGCAACTTTTAATGAAAGCGCACACACAGCGAAAGAGCGAGAGAGTGAGGGCGAGTGAGGGAGAATGAGGTAGAGGGAGAAAGGCGTAGCTCACGCCCCGGCAAAGTGCTGGCTCAACCCATTCCGTCAAGAGGCAGTCAACATGCTCAACATGCTCAACTATAGCCCAGTTAAGACGCTGCCAGTTTAATCCCAGAGTGGAGAGTGCTCCAGAGACTAAGACCCAATGTATTTATGGCAGCCGTTGGCTTAGACAACGAGCTGCTACTTTTTGTTCTATTTTCTTTTTGCCCTACGCACTTTACATAGAGCGTGTGCCCCACTTGCCGCCCCCCCTGGCCAAAGTGCCAGTTGGCTTGTGTCTATTTTTAAGGACCCAGGCTGGAGCTGCTGGAGTTTGTTTCGGTTTGGGGCCATGGCCGACCTCGAGTCATAAATTGAGCACTGTGGCAGCATAACAATAAGTCACAGATACATACGCACACACTCGCACACACACTCGCACACACATGCAGCATAACTCGCTTGTTCTATCTCTTTTGCGTACACATAAACTCATCAGCATGAATGGTTTTGGTAAAGTGCTCGCAATATAAGTTACCCAATAAATATGAAGTATATTAGGATTAGATTCAACATAAAAGACGAATCTTTTACTCTTAAATATATCATATACAGTTCGAAGTGGGCTCTAGAGAACATTAGATGAACTGTCTGGAGAAGCGAAAAGTATTAACAAATATGTGGCAGTAAATCTTTGAGACAATGGCCAACATCTAAATAGACTTTAAAAGAAATCCTTTAACTGATGAGAACAACTGATTTGTAACAATATATAATCTATTATTAATTAACAGCTGAGCATTGATGCTGTACTAAAGGCATTAATCAGCTGGTCTATAAATAAGCACATATTCTGCGGTCGCACAAAGCAAGCAGCTCGCTTTTGCCAAGCTGACTTCACAGGGTATCCGAAGCATAGACACCAAAAGCACTTGAGTACGCAACAGTGCATGTGTGTGTGTGTGTGTGTGTGTGTGTGTGAGTGTGTGATGGCGCATGTGTGCGTGTGCGGATAATGGCAGTTGAAGGCGGCGGCTTGGTCCGAGAAGCGAACGTCATTTGTGCAAACATAAAGCATTGTAAACAAACATGCCAGAGCTTTATATCCACACACACTCTCACACAGTTACACACAAGCACACTCACACACACACACACACACACACATTCGGAGTAGCAAACAGGCAAGTGGTGGATGAGGCGCTTAGCTAAAACCCAAGCAAGAAGTTAAACCGTTAAAATTGGTTTACGTGTGCGCTGGGCACACTGAAATTGCCCGAAGCCAGGCGTACTAGTGGGCGGTTTGAGGGGGCGTGGTACAGGATTCGCATGCGCCTGGCAGCAACTATTGTTGTTCTGTTTGCTGTTCTTCTTCTTCTTATCAGCGCAATGCTCCATTTGATTTGGTTGTCACTTTGCTAGTTTCCATTTGCATGGTACACCCCCCCCCCCCCCCCCCCCCCATTCCGCCCTTCCATCCGCGCATCTCTAGTGAAGTTGCACTTTAATTTAACATACTTCCACTTGATAGTAATTCGATTTACTGTCTAGTTTTTGGCATAGAGCTGGCAAAACATTGATATGTGAGAGCATCGACTGCTCTGACATCCAGAAATAAATGCAGTTGCTTAACCGAACACACGTGTCCTTTGTCAAAATTTTGAGCGTAAATCACAGGACTTGCAGCGGCTGCATTTAATTGCAGAATGCGATAAATTCCCTTGCATGCGAATGACATTGATGTTTCATATCGACGAATTCATACATGAATGGGCGTAATGTGTGTGTGTGTGTGTGTGTGTGTGTGACACGCCCCCTTTTGCCAGTTTGCCTGCGGCCTGTTGCTAATTTGCATACGTTAATGCCAGCAGGACGCGTGCAGCTGTCTATTTGCAAATGTGCATGAGGGTTGAGTTGAGGCTGTGCACTTTCCGCTCTCTGTTGTGGTCCTTGTTGTCCGTCAGGCACAATTTGCAAACCCGCAATGTCCTTGATTTCCCACACACACATATATACATATATATCTGTCTGTTTATTGTGTGTTTGTGCGAAGTAGGTCCACGCTGATTGTGTTGTATGTATGGCATGGTCAGCATTCCTCTATCCATTTGCATTGACCAGAAATTCGGATGCATTCACTTGAACCTCATAAATTTAGATGCCAGCTGACCCAACACACACATTCACATCCTAATCCGGGCCGCAAATCCCCAGCACGCGCCAGGACTCGGGCAGTGCAAACAAAACAGTTTGATAAGCAGAGATTTAGCTGGCATTCAACTCAGCTCAGTTCGGTTCACCTGTTTTAACAGTGTTGAGGTTGGGCGGCCACGCCCACAACCAAAATCAAAAGCTAGCCCATGTATCCTTTTGTATCCCTGGCACAGTCACACGAAATTATGCCATTAAAGCAAATCGAGCTGTTGCTAAGCCTCTGTTGTGTTGGCCAAAAACCAAAGTCATAAATTTTTAATTTAGTCAACTGTTTGCCCTAGAGTGCCAATCTACCCCCACTGCCATCCTCTCCAATCCCCTTCAATCTGCGCGGCGCATCGAACTAATTTACATATTCCGGCCGCATCCAGTTCCTTTGACATCGACTTGGAGATGAGCAGCAGCCAGCTCCCCAGCCGGCAAGAGTCTAAGCTGCCCCTCAATTAAACTGTCATGTCAAACGTCAGGGTCCGTCAATGCGCCGCCCATTGATGGTCTCCTCTCCTCTGCTCTCCTCTTCTCCGGCCTTGGCAGTCCCATTGCAGTCAATCTCACTCACTCGCTTTGAGTACGTGGAAAACTGCCTCGGATTGCCCGATTCGCAGGGCATGTTCCTGGTATTTTAAGATTTGAATTTCTTGGAAATGCCGCGCAGCAATATTAATCAAAATTCCATTTCTTAAATATTTTCTTTCTCTTAAACTTTTTTGAACTTTTATACTGATGATTCCACTTAAGAAAATGCAGTCAAACTTAAAATAATAAACTAAATATCCCAATATAGATTTACGATATTAAATACTATGCGCAATAACATATTGTATATTAATTTATTTTAATATACATTTATGGAGTCCTCCTCTTCTGGTCTCGAGAGACACTTTGCCAAGCTTTCCATTCGATGCGCTTCCAGTTGAAATTTCATCAGAATTTTGTTGCTATTTTTATAATTGAATTTGTGAGCTGCAAACAAAAATAGCTGAACGCGATTTGCCAATCGACATTTCCGACTAAATTGGGGGGCGGAATTTCCATCTTTGTTATCTATCAGTCAACGCGTTCCCGATAACGTTTAAATGCCCAGTCAAGTACTTAAAAGCAATTAGATGCATAAATGAATATTTATTTGGAAAATGTGCACACATGTGCAAACGAGTTATAGAACAAATTCTCTGAAAAACAATTTATCTATCAAGCTTTGAGGCGTGCTAAAACTATTTATTTGGTAAATAGATGCAGAGAGTGTGAAAATTGGGCCAAGTCTAAAGTATTTGCATTCTCCCAATTCTCTTTTAGGCACGATTGAGTTTGTAAAGCTAATTGGCTACTAAATTCTGATTTATCGATTTATTTGCTCGTTATCGATTATCGATAACCTAAGCAATTAGGTTATGTCCGGCGTTTAAGTGTTGGAAAACTATTCGTAAAGCCTTTTCGCACAACCAGATATTTTCCTTACTGAACATCTACAAAGTTTTCGTCTCGCATTGAAACTGAACTTTTTGTTAAACATTTTTTAATTAATTAAGGCTTTAAATTTCACTTTTGAGTCCCTTGCACAGACTTTCGGTTTGGTCTAAAAACAAATTGAAATTATCCAGAACAGGTTTTCAGCAAAAGGCTGTAAATATTCCTGCGAAATTTGCTTAAAGCAAATGTGGAGTGAAATTTAAAAAAAGGCCTTTAGAGATTTTAGTGTGAATATTTAAAGGAATGTTTAATAGGTTTCTTTTTTAATTCGTCGTAAATTCCATGTGTCATTTGCCTGGATGTGGAGATGCATTCAAATGCATTTTAGCCTGGGCGTGGTTGTGCGTCTGTCTGCTTGTGTGTGTGTGGGTGTGTGTGGGTGTTGCCTGGCTGTCTATGTTTGCGTGGGCTAAACTTGGAATTCCAACTAAATGCCAAATTGATATTGTCGTCGTCGTCGTCGTCGTCGTCGTCGTCGTCGTCCTCGTCCGATGACGCAAATAACGCGCATAGCAACAGCTGATGTCATCTTTTGGTTGTCTTGACGGCGCCGCCAAATTAAATAAATGGAAAATTCGCCAAAGCCATTGATGAAAATTCTAACACGCGCAGGCCAACAACTTGAAGTGGGTGTACGTACGTATTTGTCTGAGCCATAATAAGAAACAAGAACCACTCGAAAACAAAGCAAATGGCAACCGGGCCAAACTATGAGATAATCGTTGCATTATGCAGCCCATTTTAGATGGGAGCTGCGAGTGGGCTTGAATATTCAACGACTTGCATGGAATATGCAAAGCTTTATTGTATTTTATTGTATTTGGCGTGTTTAACAGGAAAAACTTTATAATTAAAAGGCATAATTAAAAATCATTTGATTCTTATATTCCCTTTTGTGCTTCATTCGTAAACTTTATGCTTAGAAATCGAGTTGGCAAAAAGAAATTAAAAGCAAATGCCTGAGCTTTAGAAGTCGACGTTTTCGAGAGTTTCTCGAAAATTTTCTGTCTGCTATAAATGTTTCTTATATTTTCTATTGTGCCTAATTCGTAAATGTTCTTGTTTTTGTGGTTCTTTAATCTGCTTTGCGCGTCATTCGTGAATGTTTTATTGACTTCTTTGAGAATTAAACAGGAAACAAATTATTCTATGAAGATTAAAATTGTCAGTATGAGCTTTGAGAAGCAATAGGTAGATTCAAGTAAGCCCTGTTTGGTAAATTTTTCTCATATCTTCTTTTGTGCTGTATTCGTAAACGTGCGACTGGCAAATCGAATGGGTAAAAAAATGCACGACTTTCCAACTTCGATGTTTGCAAGAGTTCCTCGAAATTGATGTTGGATTCTTCTATTCTGCTTTGCGTGTCATTCGTAAACGTTTGGAATTAAATAGGTTATAAAATGAAACAAAAACTTCAATACTTTGGTATGCTTCGAGTATGCCCTGTCGGGTAAGTGTAGGGTATGCGACCACAGATAAACTGAGAATGGAAATGCTTTAGTTGTCGACACAAACACAAACACACACACACACACACACACACTCACACACACACGCATGCGAACACGCACACCCACTTGTGTGTGGGCTGGAATGTGAGGGTTGCAATATCCTGTTGCTTGACCTATTTGAAGCACACCCACACACACACACACACACAGACGTCTCTACAGACATGGCCACATTCATAATTCCGTTTCCGCAGCTCGTTTGGCGCATTGCCTGCTTTTGGGGCTGCAGTTAGTTTTGCGGTCAGAGCAATGCAGCGCACTCTTCTAGGGTTTTGTGTGGGAGGGGGATTGTGGGTGGTCACGAGGCACTGGCCAGAGGCAAAACAGGCAAAACTTTTGCTAACAATTGTAAATTCAACTCATTCGTTTTATTCATATTTCGCTTGCAGATGAAGCCCAAGCTGAAAAAGGCAGCCCAACCAGAAGGTGCAACGGTCACGTAGCGCCAGTCAGGTGTGTGCCAGGATCCAGTCGGAGCAGCAGCAGGAACAGAAGCCCGAACAAGGAGAAGAGCCTGCTGCTGACTAATTAACGCGTGCGGAACGCGGAGCTGGGCGAATGAATGGGATGTCACGCCCACGTCGAACTCGTCCGCAACCAGCTAGACGCCCACAGTTGGAAAATTAAGTTTAACCAAGTTGGAAGCTTAGCAATTGGCCATTTACAAAATGCGATGAGAGCAGCGATGGGAGAGATGGGGGAGGGGGCGGTTGATTTAATTTTGGGTAGCTGGAATCGGGCGAAGGAGCTCTTATGAAAATATTCGTGGCACGTGTTGCCCGTGCAATGTTTTGTCGCTCGACAACAACAAACTCTCAATTAACTAATCTAGCATCTAATTACAACAACAACAACAACAACAAGTTTACATATATTATATATGTATATTATTTAGCTGCTTGTAAATAGTCATTATAATTATTATTATGCTAAAAATTCTGTGTAACAATAACAACAACAATAGGCAAACAGCAGCAGCAAAAACTGTTAGCATTAAACAAAACAAATTATAAACAAATTATACGTTTTTTGCAAAATTTAATAAACAAACAAAATATAATTACGACATTTAGTATTTGTGCATTGACTACATTTATAAAGAATAATGCAAAAACAAAGAAAAGAAAAGAAAAGAAAAAACAACAAATAAAACTATTAATTAGTAATTATTATAATGTGATGTTATACATATATATATATATATATAAATAGAAAACAAACTACTTTAAACAAAATGTTAACCAACAACACATAAAAAAAAAAACAAAAAACAAAAACAATTTTCTTAAGTAGATTTTTGAATTACAATCTAATAATACACACATAAACATACAAATTTAAATTAATAAAACCGAAATCTTTCACAAAAAAAAAATAAACAAAATTAAAAAAAACGAAATGCGTTTTTCTACTAAAAAAAATAATAAAAAAATAAAAACTTTGAAATCTATACGAAATTGTCGAAAAGCGAATTGTAAATTTTTCAAATTTAGCTTGCCATATAAACAAATAAACAATGTAAATGTTGTGCGAAAATAAACAATTAGTTAAACAAACAATTGAAATTGACAAACAAATAAATAAATAAAAAATCGTAATATTATGTGTAACAAAATTTAGCGTCAAATCTCTCGATGACAACAAAATTTATGCAATTGTCCTTCATTTAGTTTCTGTGTGTGTGTCATTTTCTACTCTATACTATAAGATCGGCTCCAAGCCCGATCCAGATATTGATATATATATATATATTTATATATATACTGTAATGCAGCCTTGTTGTTCAAAATCGATTTACTCAATGCACGTTTTCTTCGCCAACCAATTGCAAAATTTGTACATTATAATGAATTATTGAGACGTTCTATTATTTCTAGAGAAAAATATCTATTATCTTGTACTTATAACTGTTAATGGCTTACATATATATATAATATATTTTTTAGTTTTCTATGTAAATCGCATTTCTTCCACTTTTCACACAAGCCAAACCCCGAAAAAAAAATATAAATAAAAAAAAAACACAGCAACAATTTCAATTAACAATTACTTTAAAGACAAATGGAAAGTTTTATGAATTTGTTTTTGCTTCGCCTTATAAAAAAAAACTCAATATAAACATTAGATTTTTTGTTATTTATTTTGTTAATCTTAACTTAGCATAAGTTAAAAAAAAAATACGATTATTCAAATATACATAATTCTATTTTGGTTAACAATTTTTGTCCGTTTTATTTTTTTTTTGTTTTTCAATCAAGCCCAGCATATAATTTGTACAAATTACACAACAAAAACAAAAAATCGAAAATATATTTAACATTAAAAACATATATAAAAAAAAATAAAAAAAAAACACAAACAAACAATTTAAGCGCAGAAGTTCAATTAATAAAAATTAGAATTTTAATATAATTAAATAGTTACATAATTTCAATATTTATATGCATAAATATTTAAAATAAAATTTAAACAAAATATAAAAAAAAAAATCGAAAAAATATTGATTAAAAAAACACACACAAACACAAAATACAATTATATGACGTATTGAAATGCATAGAATGTGAGTTTCATGAAAGCCCAAAAAAAAAAAACCAAAAAAAAAACAAAGTGAAAAAAAAAACCGATATTTGTTTCAGACTCGTAAAAATTGTGTACTTTAAAATTGAATAAAATTCAAGCGTTAATTCTCTAGAGAGAAGTGTGCCCATTTAAACAATAGATACAAAAACTGTTCCCAGGCCGAGATTTCCAATTAGAATCAACTTCTTCTGCTTCTTCTCGGCCTGCGACCGGGTTTTTGCAGCACAGCACAGCACACATTACACAATTCTTTTAGGCTGCGCACGTATGCAACATGATAATGATGATGATAATGATAATGAGAGCATGATAATGATGACGATGTGTTCGCCCAATGTAAAACATGTGAATGCGCATTGGGAACAGTTACTCCAACAATAATTCCAGGCATATCGAAGCATTTCAAAAACTCAGACAGCAATCAGTAAAAAAAAAAAACGGCATAAAAGAAATTTATAAAATTAAAAAAATATATAAAACCAAGTAATAAAAATAATAAATGCAAAAATGAACGGCAATAAAAGAGCAAGAACAGTTAGCAGCTAACAACTAGGAACAGTTTCTCACGCGGCAGATGGCAGGCAACTGTGCCCACCACGCACACAGAGAACGGACACACACACACACACAAACACACACACAGTATAATTAAATAAATAAAATAAACGAATGAGATATGTGAAAGAGAGAGAGAGAGAGAGAGAGAGAGAGAGAGCGGGAGAGGGGGGAGTCATGTATGCATGAGTATGTATATTCAAAAAGCAATAATACTGAGAAACATGATTAACAAGTGGAACACAGTAAAGATAAAAGAAAACAATTAACATGAGCATAAATGAGTATTTATATATATTTTAATTATACTACCATATATATATATATATATATATATATATATATATATATAAAACAAAATAAACAAATATATATACAACCTATATATATATATATATATTTAGTCCAAATAAATGAATTAGCGAGTCGAGCATTGCCGAAATTGCCGCTCAAAATGTATTTAATATTTACAAAATATTAAAATATCAATGTGCAATTGGAAAGCGTTTAAAACAATTCGCAAAATTAAAGCCTATACACGCCTCCAGATATACACATATATATATATATATATAATAAATATAGAGACATACGTGAAACATTTAACATAAAACACTTAACATAAAACACTTAACATAACACATTTAACATATATACAAATATAAATAAAAAGCGAAAGAAAATCATCCACGACAAAAAAACACACAAACACACACACACACACAATAACACATACTTATAACATTAAATCAAAACTTCAAAACTGTACTTACTTATTATAAATTATTATATAACAAAAGTATAAACTAATAAAGAAAGAAAAACAAAAACAAAAAAAACGGTTCAAATACTCGATAATTGTTAAACATGTTTAAAAACTAAATAAAACATAATACACCAACAAAAACAACAAAAACAACAAAACATATATATATATATATATAAAAATGATAAAAGAAAAAGTCAGTTGAGCCGTATAAAACTTCATATTATAAAAACATACTTGCATCTATATTTTTTCCTCTTTAGAAAATTTAGTTAATTATTGAAAGTAACAAATAAACATTACAATTAAGTGTTAGTCTTATATACATACATAATTATATTAAAAAAAAAAATGAAAATAAAAATAAAAATAAAAGGAGAGAAAAACGAGAAGCGAGTCAACAAATTTCAAGTGCGATAACCGAACCGAACAGAAAAAAATAAATAAAAAATTAAAATAAAAACGAACGAAACAAAAATCAGCAAATGAACAATTTTGAAATTATGATAATTGTTTCGCCTTTTTGTGTTTGAAACAAATTTGTTGTGTTATTTCGTCATAATTTTCACAATTGGTCAGACATCAAATTGATTTACTTACATTGATTAAAAAATAAAAATTATTTAACAAAAAACAAAAAAAAAAAGACAAGTTTTTCCTTAACTTTCTTGCGAGGCGCGCACAAATATTGCTTTCAGGCATAATTTAACATTAACATATAGATTAACATTTACATTCGCATTTACATTTGCATTAACATTTACGTTTACATTTACGTTCACGCAGGAGGATAGCTTATCAGTATGGAATCGGACTGCCACTGATATGACCAGTACAACACGTATCCGTGATACGTTACGCAGGATATTAAATATACCTCTAACAACTGCAATGGAGTATAAGATACACTGTGATAGCCTTAAATACGTTTCAATGTACGTATTATACATTTACGGTCATACATTACGAATATCGTATATCGTAACACGCAATCGAATAACATTCGTCTATGCATGCCCCACAGTCGATATCGTATTCTAAATAAACAGTTGCCAAATAGAAATACGCGAAATATCAGAGCCTGGCAATGTTGACGATAACCATGATGATCTGATGATGTTCTGATGATGATCCGGGCAGCAATTGGTCACATTTTTGGGCAACTTCATTTGTATAGATAGCTAATCGTTAATGCAATTTTCTTCTTCTATTTTGCAGTAATAAAGGCGCATTGAAAAGCTGAAATTCAGTGAATAATTACAACAAACACAAAACAAAAACAATAAGAAAACAAACAGATGATTTAGTCGCTAGCAAATGGAGCAACAGCAACAGCAACAACAACAACACACAGCAACAGCAACAGCAACAACAGCAAAAGCAACAACAACAATAACCGCAACAACAAAAGCAATAACCGCAACACAAGCAACAACAACAACAACAACAACGACGAGCACAAAACAGCCCCCTGATGATAATTATAGCAATGATAATGATGATGTTGATAATGGAAATACGATATATGAAGTACCGTAAAGACTAATCCCGAACCCCGAAAAACCATAGCAAGACAGTCAGTTAATATTTAAGCGCTAAATAATACAAATCTTTGTATTTTCAACAAGTTTACAAAGCCAGAGTTGTATATATGAAACGCCATAAATATTTTAGTTTGTATGTATAAAGTTTACATTAGCCATTCCCAATTTAATCAAAATCGAATTCAATCGAAACTCAAATTCAAATTATAAGCTGAACATTTAACCAAACGTCTAAAGCAATCGTATATTGGCAAAATAGTTTTCTAATATTTTTTCTATGCTGTGTAATATAGATTTAACTTTAACCCACACCCACACCGCCCCGCCTTCCCTCCCCCCTCCCCTCACACACAATTGTGCTGCTTCGGATAGTTACAGCTCGCCCAGACGACGGAGAAGAAGAAGAAGACAAAGATATAGACAGCACCAG